CCACACTGATATGTCACGCTCTGATACCCATCTGTGAAACCTATACAGCATACAGAGTTGACTGTTGAGTTGTGGCTACAAAAAACGGGCCAGTTTAAACATGAGTAATAAATCTAATCCAAATCTGAAATCAGAAAGACACAGAAGCATTGTGAGAGTCTCTTTTCTTACCTGGTTTCTGTATCTTTTGGCATATTTATAGATTTCTGTCAAGGCCAGGTTGGTGTTGAATTCATTTCTGTATTTCTACAGGACACATAAGAGAGTGCTACGTTAGATTAAATTCCAAAATAGGACTTGCGTAATAGCTGGCTTTTATGGAACCAGATGACCAACATAAGGGGAATTTTTAAACACTACTCACTCGTGACTCCTCAGCTAGGTGAGCGTTCATCTCCTGCTCACTGAGAGGTGCCATTTCCTGTATCTGCTGGTAGTAGCGCTGCACTCTCTTCTTATACTCAGGGATCTCCTTGGCATACAGCAACTTGTTGGTAGGGGAGTCCTGGTGGGGGGGGGGGTGTATCAGTTAGGATACTCATGTCAGAGTTTTGACCATTGTGTGGCTCTGCTCGTTTGATGCTAGAACCAGTCCGAGCAAGCTTGATACACTCTTGATACAAAAATAATACGAAACAGCTGATGAACATGAACACATTAAAAGAAACATTCAAAGTTCCGCTAAGTGCTAATATAGCAGTGGGCTGAGGAGGTGAGAGGAGTTATTTTTTAAAAAGAAAGAAGCAGTGTAGCAGCAAAGATGAGACTGATGCAGTCATGTAGGTCATGGTAGGGCCTATGAAACGTGGCTTTAAAACATTTTCCATCACCTCCTGGTTGCCTGAACTCCAGTGAGGCTTCACACTGTATAAGGCAGAACTTAGACTTTCAGGATTAATTCATAGTTTAGCAGTGAACCATATTCTTTAATGGAGAGGTTTGTACATTATTGTTTTGTTTGCAATCTGTACTAATTAATAGTGGAAAATATTTAAGTACTTTTCGACAAGTAATGTACTTCAGAAGAACTTTGTTGTACTTATATTTCAGCCGTGGTGGAAGAAGTCCTCAGATTGGTTACTTAAGTAAACGTAGCAATACCGCAGTGTAAACGTTCTCAGTTACAAGTAAAAGTCCTGCATTCAAAATGTTACATAAGTAAAATTTTAATAGTATTAGCATCACAATATACTTAAAGTGGTCACCATGCAGAATGGCACAGTTCACATTAATGTGTATCTTACTATTCATTATAATTATTGATGCGTTATTGTGAACATCACATTTAATGTTGCAGCTGGTAAAGGTGGGGCTAATTTTATCTACCTTATACAGTATGCTTATAATTAGAAGTACTTTACAAACTGCTGTGTATCTTGTAAATTTCCCAGTAGGGATCAGTAAAGTCTTATGATTACAGTGTATTTTGTTTTATTAATCTCATTCTGACAAGTAACCATTACAAGTTATTTTTCTCTGAAATGTAGTGAAGTCAAAGTGTGAAGTAGCAGAAAATGAAAACAGTCAATTACAGATACACCCCAATTGTACTTAAGTACAATACTTGAATAAGTGTACTTAGTTCCAGTTTATTCCACATTATACTTTAACTCTACTACATTAAGAGACAAATATTGTGTTTGCTTCTTGCTACATTTAACAGAAAGCCATAGTCAATACTTACTTTTACCTACAAAACATGATCTGCTATAATCAGTTGTTATAGATTAAACTACCCTGCATTATATAAAATAGTTGATCAGCTTCAACATTAAAGTCCTATATTAATGCATCAATAATATTTTCTCAACAAGTACTCATACTTTTGGTACTTTAAATAATACTTGTGTACAGTTTTGAATGCAGGGATTTTGTTATAACAGAGTTTTTTTTGGAATGTCATTGCTAATTTTACTTAAATGATCCAAGTACTTCTTACACATGTGGAGCTAACGTTTTAATAAGGAGCTGTTCAATTAGACTGAATGTTATTTATGGATGACCCTACTTAAACCTACATAAAACCAGACAATGGAGGGAGGGAACAGTTTCCTTTCCACACAACAAGCGAATCAAACAGTTAGAGCCGGAAAAGGAACATTCCAAGCTAACCACTACTTCATAACCCTGCCACTCTCACCACTGTCACTTCAGTCTCTCACACTGGTGCTTATTCAACCAGAAAGAAAGTAGCGGAGCTAAGAGGCTGTGGGCACCTTTGGGTTTCAGTGGTGACTATCACTGTGAGCAACTTTATGTAGAGCTTTGTGTGCTGTGGGTGTATGAGAGAAAAAGGGACAGAGAGAAAGTAGGACAAGGAAAAACGGGGTAAAAGAGACGGGCAACCTCAGCTTTCAGCATCAGTGAATCTGCTTACAGTGCACCTTCATATTTCTAGGTGTCATGATTTATTTGTGTCACCTAATGTGTTTGTTTGCCGATGCATTTGTCTGCTTGTGTAAGGTGCTAGGGGACTAAAAGGCTGTGGCCATAGTCTGATAGGGAGCCCTCTCTCTTCCTGTCCACAAGGTCATTTCCTGCTGTTTGCCCATCTGCTTGGTCACCAGTGATCTCGTGGACCTCCATATCTGCTTCCTGCCAGATGAAAGGGTTTCCGTGGAAACAGCGAGCGTTACCCCTCTCTCTCATCCCTGCTGTGCTTCTGCTAATCAAGAGCCTGTACCCTTCCTTGCCCTGTCCCAAGGCCATCACACACAGTAGTCCACATGCATAAACAAGCAACTGTAAACACTGGAAGAAAAAGAAGAGGCATGTCATGCCAGTCTCCTTCACCTATAGAAGAGAAAACAGCCATGCCCTTCAATCTGTGACCCTGCAGTACTGTACATGCACAGCCAGATGTATCATGTTAATGAAGAGGCGACAGAAACACATGCAAAGAAAGTTTTATAGCTGGAAGTTTTGTGTATGTCTGCGCATAGGTATGATTCTGTCTGCACGTAGGTTCTTTGTCACTGAAATGAAATAGATAAATCAGACTGTTTCTTGGTGAAAGAGAAGCATTATTTGAGGAGTCTTGCACTCTCTCCAGGGAGGAAGCCAGTCAGAGGGAGACAGGAAACAGAGCATACTCAGGGTCACGGTGTCTGAGGGATGAGACGGATTTTTGAGCAGTGAGGACATTGACATGCAAGCACACACACACACAGGCAGACAGAGAGACAGACATACGCTTTCCTGAACACACACACACGGACATGCACTCCACACACCACGAAAAGAGTTCCCTAGTGCTCATGACCTTGGATCAGCCGAGTGGGCTGAAACAACATGAGCAGAGGTAGATGGAGCTGACAGTCTGAAGGCTTTTGGATGAGGGTTCACAGGGGGACTCGGGAGGTACATTTGTGTGTGTGTGTGTGTGTGTGTGTGTGTGTGTGTGTTAGATATATACATAGAAAGGTAGACAGATGGCTAGATACATAGATATATAACCTTTATCTAATCCAGTATTTAATCAGGTAGATACTGTATGACAGATAGGTACAGTAGGGTGTTATAGATTTTGAGATTTTACACTTGTGGGGTGTGCCTCCACAGGGGGTTAGGGAGACAGATGGTAGATGGATACATAGCTAATATAACCTTATTCCTACTGTGTAAGTGGGGACAGGTGTTTCAAGTTCTAAGTCAATTTGTGTTCTTTCTCAAAATCCAATCAAATCTAAACACAGGCATAATACTAAAAAAAATGATATTCAGAGTCTGTGTGACCTTTACATTTCCTGAAGTTATCATTATTCTGCTAATAGTGCACAATTTTAATGGCTGCAAATTGCCATATAATGTTGCAATGGCAACATTATGCTTTCCGTTTACCCCCAATCCCCTTAATTATGGGAAGATAATGAATCGTAATTGTCTCAGGTTTGTATGGGGGGGTCCATAGTGACAGATGTTGAAATTCCCTGCGGTAGATAGGTAGACAGAAAGACTCACCTTGCCTAGCTGCAGGTCAGAAATTGAGCAGGCATCTATGAAAGCCTGGGCGATGACAGACAGACAGGCATCCATGTGATCCGTCTTATCAATGTCAAACACAAACTGAGGATTCTTCAGGATGTTCACCCAGAAACGCAGAGGTAAACTGAACAGAGAGGGAAAGATAAGCTTTTAAAATCTTGCACTTGCACAGTGAGGTGACCAGAGAGGACTTCAGTCACAGAATTAACTTGTTCACCTGTTGGTTTTCCAGATGTGCAGGGTGTCTGGGTCTGTGATGCCCCGTTTGTCAGCCTGCTCCTCCAGGAAGTCAAAGAAGTATTTTACAGCCAGAGGAGGCCGATCTGGAGGGATGCTAAGGATGGCCTGGAAGAGGTCATCCAAGAACTTCTGAAGAGTTCCCTGTACAGGACAATGAAAGACATTGCTTTCTGGGATAATGGAATTTCTAGACTAGACTAGCTAACATGGGCCATAAACATATAAAATAAAAAGATAACATACACCTAGCTGTAACAAGAGTTTGTTTGCAGTGTTGACAACAGAAGCAATCTCATCTTTGTGGTTACCTTGGTAGACAGCAGGCGTGTCAGGTAGATTTCAGGCAGGACTTTCTTGCGGTGGCTCTGTCTGTGTGACTTCTTGGTCTCCATTAACTCATCATGAGGTAGGACCTGGAACAACAGAGATCAGAAAACTGCACACAAGTTGAAGCAATAAACCTCCTCATAAGTAGCTGAATGAATGCTCAACTGTCTCAGTCGTCAGAGGATTTTTCTGTTTCATGCATTAGACACATGATTCAGAAACCACATCAGGGTATTTTAAAGCCCTGAATAATATGCAGAATTGAGGAAGTGATGGGAGATGGGAAATTCTCAAGGTTTTCTCCAGTTGTTGTGTAGAGGATCATGCCACTGTCTTGCTCATACAGGTCAAAATAGGGGTACGCAATAGAATAAAGCAGCCAAATTCCACCTACTTTTCTAAAAAAAAGGATTACATTAAGTGTCCTGCAAAACTAACTATTCACCCTGCAAATTGTGTTCCAAGGAACTCATTATTCTAAAGTCAAAGGGCCCATATCTTGGCTGACGTTTATAAAAGAGCTTAAGCGGCATTAGTGCTGTCATGTCCTCTCAGCAGCTTTCCTTTTCACCTCCATTCACCCCTATTCTGTCTGTCATCAGACCTGCTCCAGGCTGACTAACATTGGCACACACACGCAAAGCTACCTCAAAAACCCAAAGGCCACTTATAGAAGAGTCTGATTGCCTACAGTATAGGAAGATACTCACCAAGTGTACATACTTCTCTGTATCCAGATCTTTGACTAAGGAGGAAAAAAAAAAAAGAAACATACAGCGTGAAATAATGTGCAATCAGTGAGGTGGAGACCTCAGAGAATAAGAGGAGACAAGAGGAGGGAGCACGGAGGAGTGTGACAGATAGGAAAGAGAAAAAAACGTGGGAGATTGACAGGAGAGCAAGGGAGATACAGTACATGCGAGAGGAGAAAGTGATTAAGGTGGACTGTGGGTCGGTAGGGGAGGGGAGCTGTCTGAGAGAATGAAAGAGAAAGATTACGAGTGAAACGAAAGAGAAAAGAGAAAGATTAGGGGAGACAGACACACAGAGTCTGTGACTGGTTCTGGAGCCAGTGTAATGAGATGGTAATGCTCGGCCAACGCTGGGAAAGAGCATTAAACCTTGCTGGTTTATATATAGATCTAAACACAAACACAATCGCCCGCATGCACGAACAGATATGAGAATACATGTCCAAACACAAGCATAGATGCAGACACAAAAACAAGTACAACAAATTACTGCACACAAACCAGCAAAAACAAAGACAGGCATTTGTGCTGATAAACACATGAAAACACACATGGTGAGTGTGTTCTCATTACAGCCCGCTCTGCCAGAGATGCTCCTGCCTAGCGGGCCTCGGTCCAGACCCTCATTGCTGATCACACACAGGCAGAACAGTGTTTTATATTAGCCAGGGAGCACTACGGGCTCATAACACCCCCTTGACGCTTTGAAGTCAGAGCCAGGGTTGGTCTACATAAGCCTATTTTTGGCCCAGTATGAATGAGAAGAGAGGCTGTGATGGACAGAGCCTGAGCAGCACTGAGCCCTGGTCTGGTACTGATTATGTAAGGTGAAGCTAGACAATGGCTGTACAAGCCCATTAAACGCTGTATGTAAACTCATCTGTCAACAGGCAGAGGAGTCATTATACTCCAGACTGAGGCTGGACAATGGACAAAGTTCTGTTACATTCCCCCCTGACAAGCTGACATTTGCTAATGGAATAAATCTATAACACAGAAACAAAAAACCTCCTGAATGAAGCGCTAGCATTACTCCAGCATGAAGCAGAAGAGTATGTGTTGTGATTTATGAAGTGTGTCTTTTAGGGATGGTGGGGGGGGGTTCCTGTGTGTTTATGAGTGTATCACATTCTTGTGATCAACTAAACGTGCTGTTTCTAGTGATAGAGTGACTGTGTGTATTTATCTAAGTTTGGGTGACAAAGCGACAAAGGAGTGGGTGTGTTTGAAGGTGACGTACCTCTCCCCAGGGTGTTCTCTTTCTTGTCTTTCATGCTCATAGCCAGCGATGCCCCCTCGGGGATCTGAGAAGGGACAGAAGAAGAAGGGAGGAAAGATGAGAGAAGACACAGGGCACAGGGTCAGGGGTGAGCTGGGGTGCAACAGAACAGCATCATTAAGCGAATCCTCGAGGGGAGCGTGGTGTTGAGGGGTGTATATGTTTGTGTGTGTGCATGTATGTTGGTCTCGTGTGGTAGGTCAGAGGGAGCCTGGCTGGTCTCATTAAAGTCAGCCCGCAGTGAGATGGATTGAACAGCCTTGCCAGTGAACCCAGAGTGTTAGTACACGCTACGGCTCGCTGCTTTCATAGCCCTGGCTCCACGGCTCAGCAAAAACTAAACAGAGCACTTAACAAGTACAGGTAACAGGTCAAAGGTCGAGGTGTCACTGAACCTCTGTTGACTCACGCACAAATGTACATAAGTAAACACACATACAGACATTGTTCATGGGATACCGGTACAAAACATTTTAGTTATTTAGGTGCCAAACCTGGATAATATGTTTACATTTCAATTAATGGCTTAGTTTTTAACAATTAATACAGAAAATATGTAAGTCATTAAAGTCACCTTTGACACAAAATAGTGTTTAGCTTATTGTTACTTCATGTGGATGTTTGAACACTGTGCAGAATGTGTTTTTATTTTCCTCTCCTGAAATCTCTGTGATCATCCTAAATCTGAATTTAGGACATGTGAGCATATTTCAGTGACGCACGACAACTCTTGTGTCCTGTGCTTAAACCTTTGAAATGCATATTCATATATTTTGGATTTAAAAATGAGGGACAAGGATTGGATATAATTTTTCATCATTTTGAACTAGATACTTTTCATTTTTGTGGAAAAACCTTCAGTTTCATAATCATGTAAATAAAAGTAGTAGGTGAAAGTAATATTACAAACATATAATTTTCTGTGTACTTGCACATAAAACAGGCAAATGAATAAAATAAAATAAAACACTCTGGCTCAGTGGCTATGTCTGCTAAGTAAAGCTAGCTAGCTGGCACATTAGTGGGTCATTACATCTCTGAAAATGTGTGAGGACATTTCTAAACTGGCATTTCTTGGATGGACTGATCGCATATTCAAAAACAAGACAGTTATTTACCTGACTGGAAAAATATCAAAACTTAATAAAGTGACACGATTACAGTCCTAAAAAGAAAATTACAACAGCTTTGAGCCTGCCCTGTTACCACCATGAGATGATAGTGTCCTTCCATTTACTACAAAGTTATGTAGGCCATCCGGGTTCTACCTGCACATATTTTGCTTTTTCATGTCATTTTAGCTAGTTATTTCATTTACATATACACAGGAGGAGAGGCCTTTTAAATAAGACCACACATCGCAGTGGACTTTTTCTTTAGTACACATTAGTTTCGCATTTTATTGGAAACGGTACCCCCCCCAAAATAACAAAAGTGTCAACTACTGTCTAAATGCACCGAAACACTGCATTATTGTAATGGGGATGGAAAGTTAAATTACCACATAGTCCAATCATAAACAGCCTCTCCCTCTAGTGAAACATGTAGAGCTATTTAGCCAGCAGGCTGTGGCACCTGCATGTAAAGAATAGTTTTTGCGGCTACAGGCAAATTTATTTTTCTGGCTAAAAATGGCTCCTCATTTGGCAAAGGTCACTGACCTCTGAGCTAACCAGAGACAGGGAGTATCCCCCCATTGATGGAGCCAGTGACACCATTTACATCTCTCTCTCACACCCACACACACACCTGGTAATGGAAGACTGTGTTGAGTTTCTTTCGGCCATCCTCCATCACAGAGGAGTTGTCCAGGTCCTGCAGAAGTTTACTGTTGCTACCAGAGTCAAACCACTCTGGAGGAAAGAAAAGTGGGAGAGAGAAGATGAGAGAAGGGAGGAAAGTGATATTAGTCAATTTCATTCTGAATTTGGTGAAGAATATATGTGTGACAGAGGGCGGCTGACTTTTAACTTTCTGTGTCATGACCTGTGAAAATATTCTCAGGCCATTAATCAAATCAGCTCTGCAGGCTCCGCAGCTTTTGAAAGCAATAACTCTTTGTGATTATGACTGTACACTCTCCTCAATGTATTCTGTCATTTATTATATTATAGCCTCAGGTTAGTTGAGCTTCATGAGAGGAATTGACCTTTTGCAAAGGGGATTACTATATCTTGGAGGGCTGGGGAGGGGAAAGAATAAAAATAATCAAGGAAAATGTGCTCTTACCCAAGTCTACATCCTCTGCTCGGGGCCACTGGGAGAATGGAAGGTTTTTATAAAAGGCTTCTATAATCTTTTCCTTCACCTGACAGATGGTGTCTGTATTCATGACCCTGACAGACAGCGAGTCCATGCCACAGCCCTGGAAGGAGACGTTGATATTCTGCAAAAGCAAACACACAACATTACATTTCGTACCTTGCAAAAAATATTATGAATTTCAGTATGACTGAAACTTTCAGTCAACTCAATTGAATGTTTAAGTTTGACATTGACCTCTGAGCTCTACACAGCAAAACTGAGGGTGTGAATGATAAATTAAGTGTGTGAGGCATCAGACCTGTGGCTTGGCCTCAATGTTCTCACGGAGCAGCCACTCCTCATTGAGTGTGTAGCGAGCCTTCCCGGTGATGGCATCTATAGAGCCCTTGTTGATCTGTTGCTTGATTGCACACAACAGCAGGAAGAAAGGCTCACCCACTGTTTCCTGAGGAATGCGGCAGAGCGGAAGAGTCAAACACCAAGGCTGCGGTCATTCTTTTTAATCAGTCCTGTCTCATTACTTTTCTGAGCTTCTCTCTTTTCCACTCTCACCTTGAGGTAGCTGTACATGCAGATGGACATCCAGTTGGTCAGCATCTTCTCCACAACAGACTCAGTTCGGCGCAGCATCAGTTTGGGGTTCTTCGAAGCCGAAGCGTCAATCAGGTCCACCAGCAGATCTTTCATGATACTGGTGTAGTACTCGAGTTTGCCATGAAGGGCGATGGTAAGCAGGGAGGCCAGGCTGCATCTGAACAGGGAGAAAACAGATTAGCAGAGGTGACAGATGAATAAAAACAGGCTCTTCCAAACAGTCCCTGCCTGTGTGGCCAGTGGAGATTTAAAAATAACTACATTAGAGAAACAGCAACAAGGCTTGCTTCTCCCCAAAGCACCTGTGACTAAAGATCCAAATAAAGCCCCGATCCAGGGTGTGTCTGGGTGAGTGAGTCCAGAGTCGTAGGGGATTTCCCTAACAAAGCCCCTTTAATCCAGGACAAAGAGGCTGCATCTGCCAGTGAGTGCTGACGCTGCGCTGGGACAGGGATGTGGTCTTTTCCACAATAACTTGGCTAGTTTCAGGACACTAAGACCAGAGCAGCCACAGTGATACATAAATAACTAAGTACTTACAAAAATGGAGCAAACACTCTCCTGAACACTGCTGCAATACAACAGCTGTACAATAAATACTGCAAAGCTTTAAAACTTTTTGTTTATGAGACTGCTTCTTTAGATGTTGTGTAGTTATTGGTATTTGTGTCCATCTAATTAACAGATATTATAAAAGAATAAAAAATATTAAACCTCTATTAACAAGCTTTTGGGATTCTTCGGGGCAGAAACAAGATGACTAAAGCCTTTAAACTGAAAACAGCTGCCTGCTGCAGCCAAAAATGAAAGTGGTGAGAGCAGCGAGAGTCAATCAAAACATTAGAGTTGTGGGTTGGAAAACCAAAACAGTGAGCTGAAAGACTGTAAAGACATTTCACATTGCACACAATCATTTGGTTCATTGTTAATATACAAATATTGATTATAGCAGGTTTAAAAACACCACGCAATAAGATACAATTCAAGGCTATAATAGCGCTGCTAACCACTACCTCAACAAATGACCACAGAACTGAATGAACATCTTTCTTACAATGGTCACTCAGTGCTTAGTGCAATTCACTCCTGTAAATCTGTAGATTCTACTGCCTTAATGGCCTAATGTGAATCTGTACAGATGCATTTCTGTTTCTTGTTTAACTGTCAGACATATATCAGCTGAAGTATTTACCTGTCCCGTACAGCAAAGTCCTTCTGCTGCTCCAAGGCGTGGACAAACGTGATCAGGAAGTGCTTGTTATTGAGAAGAGTGGAGAACAGGGTGATGCCCTCCTCAATGTTAGGCCTTGTTGTGTGGGTGGCCTGGTGACATAAAGAGGATGAAACAGTTTTTCTTCTGCACAATTTCACCAAACCTGCACCACACACCTGCTGCATCCTCCCTAATCTATTTCACCACCTCTTGACTTGAGTGACCTACAGTATCTAGTCATCTTTCTATCACAGCGCCTCCCTCTGATCCTCTCTACAGTATCTCCTGTAGATCTCACACTCTGGTCCCTGACTGCATGCGATAGTCTTTAAATGTGCCGAGTCGACTTAATGAGTATGGTCTATCTACGGGTGTGACTACGCAGCAGTGTGATGAAGTCTTCCCGCTGGACTGCAGCCATATGGTGTAGTTTGCAGTCTGACAGAAGGAGAACAGGGGTGTCCATTAAGATAAATGCCCGCCTGTGAGATTTATTTGCTGTGACCTGGAAAACACTTCCTGGGAAGACAATATGGATCCAAGGCACTTTATCACCGCTAGACAGGCTCCCTCGGCTGCCGACCCAAAACTAGTGCATCAATCGTTACTTTCTCTCTTTCTAATGTGCACATATATGCACGTGCTTTTTATTTTCAGCACGCATTCATATAAAGGTGTGTGAAAGTGTGCTTTCCCTCGCCCACTCTCTCTTTATAACTCTCACTCCCATCCTCCCTCCTTTACACACACACACACAACTGCTAGAGATGAATTTCAATGAAAGCATACTGTTTGGTTGTCCAAGAGCCAGTGGGAAGTGTGCCAACAACCTGCCATCGGTTTTGTGGGCAGAGTCGCTTGACAGGCTGAAAGTTTTTTGTCTCACTCACAAGAACCCACTCAATGACATGCATTCATATTTGCATATGCACACATACAAGCATGAGAGTGCACACAAACATGTACAGTATGCTTACATGCTCCACACACACACACACACACACACGATAATAACCACACAAAGGCAAAAAATGCATAATCTGCTTTTCTTTTCTTTACTCTTCATCAACAACAAGCCCACTGTAAAACCTTAATAAGCTTCTTGTGACCCAGTTGAGAAAGAAGGGAGTGAAAAAGGACCCGTATCAAGGCATTCTGGCAGAAGAAAGCACAATCTAACCTAACATCCTAATGGCTTAACCCTTCACCTGCCAGTCCTGCAGCAGCGGGTGGGTCTCCGGCAGCGCTCGAGGGCCCAGAGCATCATTCTCGTAGGCAGGCTGAACTAAACTCTTCTCATAATCGGAGCACATCTGAAACACATATAGACACATACACTGTGTAAAACTCTAATACAAAGTCAGCTGTAGTCATCAACACAGGAAGACAAACAGAACAAGAGACTTGAGAGGTAAAGTTTTAGTCCAGAAGTGAAGGGCAGAAGCTTCATGAAGAGGCCTTGAACATGCCCTGACTGACCATGAATAGGAAACACAACACAGTCACATGAAACGTCACGGGCCTCAGTGGACTTAGAGTCAAACTGACCTGCAGTCAACTCAGTCTGTCATTTCGGGACGGCTATGTTTGGCTTGCATTCTTCCTGTGTCTAACACTGATTTGCGTGTGTAATCTACAAGGACCAGACGTTCTCATAGAAAAACAGAAGCACAAAGGGTTGCAAGTGGAATGTCTGATGTCTTAGTGGAAAACTACGGAGAAACGAAACTGGAGCAGCAACACTTGAATTTATGTTTCTTTCTGTGGAGCTTTTCAGCACACTCCCCCCTCACTTCCTTCACGACAGAAAACAGTGTCCACTGCAACAAACCGGTGAGGCTGCCGTTGAGCAACAATGTATACTTGTAAAAACTGTGTGGGTGTGTGAGCTGAGTGATGAGTGTGTTTTGAGAAACTGGGGGAAAATTTCCTTGTCTCAGTGCCCGCCATTGTTCTGTCTCCTTGAGAGCTCGTGCTTGTGGCTAGGAGACAAAGCCTACTGAGTTGTGTCTGTCTGTATCAGTGAAAAAACACCCACCCACAGTCCACCTTCAGGATGGACAGCACATCAGAAAAAATGCTTACCTATAGAGAACACTTTAACTCTCCTGCAGGGTGCCAAACTGGGCTGCACTTCACTATACATTTACTGTATGTTTAAAAGTTCCAAGGTGCATTTTTATCCTGCACATTACAAACTGTGGGAAATATTACTTGTAGGGGAACAATGTCAAAACCTCAGTGAGAAAAATGGTGTTGTGGGTCTGCTGTTGAAATCAGATAGTGTGGAAAACTAGGGTGTCTCACCTTGGGAAAGAATGTACGTGTGACAAACTGTTTGTATTCTAAAAAGGGGATGCCCTGGCTGCGATTCAGCTCCTTGGTTAGGTCTGTCATGTCCGTCTGCAGCTCTGCAAAGCCTGAAAGAACAAAGACACACAAACACCCAAAGCTCATTAATCCTGGGCACTGTTTTCAAAACACAGTTGTTTATCGCATGTGTCTCTTCAACCATAATTTGTTGCTAAGTAAAATGAGTCAGAAATCTGTTCACAGGCTAATTCAACAACCATCAAGTTCTCTGAGGCTACTGTGGGAAGAGATTTTAGATGAGGCAGGATTGCATCTAATTTCATAGATTGGTGTCATGTTCTAGTTGAACATTGAATATACCATTGAAAACTGATCCTCTGATCGTTCTCCTGTCTCGCTGTCTTTGCCGGATAGTGCAGCTCGGCACAATGTGCAGGCAAATATTTACCAAACGACAACCAGAGCGGGCGAATCCAGTCTGAGGCCCTTATTTAAAACATGTGTGCAGGCTGAGGTTTACATGCAGAAAGAGTATCAACATGTCCAGACACCGACTTTAACCTGGATGCTAATATTGTTGTCACTTTCTTGGGTTGCATGTACTAGAAGAGGACAACGTTCTCCTCTAATGAGATGCTGGTGATCACTTTAAGAAAAAACGCTTCTTGTCATGGGATGAAAGACGTATCTGGGTTACAGTGCATCTTTCTCCAGAATGTGTTTGTGTAGAAAGAAGGGCATACTAGAGCTGAAAGATTTAAAACATATTTCATTATTCCTCCAGGTTATTTATTCTCCTGCTCACTAAAGTGTCCTCTAAACCGCCAGTCAGTTCACACCATTAATTCCTAATTAGATGCCTGAGTACCAAACCTCCCCTCTGCCTCATCCGTTCCTGTAACTTGGAATATGTCAATTTCCCACCTTCCTTAACTCCCCCTTCTTCCGCTTGTATCACATATTTTCTCTCAGAACTATCCCTCACTTTGTGCACATTCACCCTGAACTCAACCACAAATCTATCCTCGTCATCTGACTGAATAACGTCTCCTCTCCTCCTCTCCCTCCCACGCTTCTGCTCCCATCTCTACACCATAAATCTGGGTGCTCAGATGCGAAGTGGCCTTCACGCAGCTTTACTCTAATGCCCTAGACCTGCACAGACAGACACACAGAACTAAACACACACACACACACGCACACTGGGTTTATTCATATAGGGCAGACACAGCAGAGGTGATGTGGCCACTGCGTGTCTGCATGTGACTGATCATTTGTCAGACACTGTTTTATGAGTCAACACTCACTAGGCACAAATCTGTCAATTGTTGTATCTCTCTTCCACTCCTCCCAAATCTCACACAAACAAACACACATTATGCACATGCACACACAGAAATGGACACAAACAAGACAAATCTATCTAGTCAATATTTGTGTCTTCTTTGTGCTCTTTTTGATGTCAAGCATCATTTGAGGTCTAAAGCACTGTCACCGCAGAACTTGCGCAAGAGTAGCAGGTGTGTGTGTGCGTGTCTGTGCCTGTGTGCGTTCTTTTGTAAACACACCTTTACGAATCTCCTCTCTGATCTGGGACTCCATCTCTTCCATTTGGACTAGAGTTTTCTGCCAGTAGCGTTCCGCCCTTCGACTCTTTGTGCAGTACACTACAAGAGCTGAGAAAGACAAAATACATTTTAAATATGTTTTAACTGAGAGACTGTTTTCACACACTGATCGCTTCCAGGAAATCAGAACATAATGCTGAGAAAGGGTTGCATATCACCTTTTGTGAGCCTGTAAAAAAAAAAAAGTGTATGAATATGGAAGTGGAAATGAAAATTTTCTCAGAAATTCAAGTTTGTGAACGTGTAAATAAAATTTCTACATAAATGAGTTCAGCCTTTTAAAAAAGAAATGGCGTTGTGGATATCTGAGAACAGATTCGGAGTGGGGAGATGTGAGAAAATCCTCACTAGCACCAATTTTCACCCATACACCTGCTCTGCACACACACTTACACAAAGACTACAGAATATAGTACACACACACACACACACACACACACACACAGAGACACATGAGCCTGCAGACGGAGTAGATTGTGAGGGGAACAGTGGGATCGTTGTGTGCCAAGTACTGAACAGGCATGAAGCAAGCATGGGAAACTATGACCCCGGAATTCCTTTTGTCTGTTCCACATCTGGAGCATCTATCGCTACTGCAGGCACACATCTCTCATCTGCTGGCGTGTATGTGTACACAACCTACCCACAGTGCACAGCAGCAGCAGCACACAGCACACCACAATGGATACCACAATGGCCAGTTCACTGCCACCAAGCTGCACTTTGGCGATCGTGTGATGGAAGTTCCCGACCTGCACCTAGAAGGAGAACAGGGCATGAAAAGAGGACATGAAACCGGAATGAGCCAGTCCTTTCTTCTATGGTTACCATATGTTGAAATATAGAACCAGTCACAAGTTTGAACACAGCTTCTCATTTTGTATTTTTTGTTTATTTCTATAATTTTTTTCAGTAACTAACACCAAAGACTTCAAAATAAGAAATAAACACATGTACATGATTATGTACTAAGCAAACAAGTCTAATCAGAGCCCTGTAAATAGCCATATTTTGCTTTGATAAAAGCTTTGCACGCTCTAGTCTTTCACTCAACCAGCCCCATGAGGTGGTCACCTGGAATGATTTCAGTCTTGAAGGAGTTCACACATACGGTATAGTGAGCACCGCTTTTCTTTCACTCTGCAACTCACCCCAAATCATCTCGTTTGGGTTTAGGTCGGGTGATTGTGCAGGCCAGGTCATTGCTCTCCTTCGCAGTCAGATAGTCCTCATGGAGCCTGGAGGTGTGTTGGAGGTCACTGACATTGCCCACTAAACGCAAACCAGATGGGATGGCGTGTTGCTGCAACATGTTGTGGTAGCCGTGCTGGTGAAGTGTGCCTTGAATTCTGCCGACAGTGTCAGCAGCAAAGCATCCTCACAGCATCACACTTCCTCCCCCCTGCTTCACGAGGGGAACCACGCATCCAGGTACCATCCATTTACCTTCTCTCTCTCCCTCACAAACATGTGGCGGTCTAAACCAGAAATCTCAAATTTGGACTCATCACACCAAAGTACATATTTCAACTGGTCTTCAGGCTTCTTGGGCCAAGAAATTCTCTTCTTCTTCTTGGTCACCCTCTGTAGTGGTTTCTTTGCAGCAGTTCGATCATGAAGGCCTGATTCATGCAGCCTCCTCCAAACATTTGATGTTGAGATGTGTCTATTACTTGAACTCTGGGAAGCACTGATGCGGGCTCTAATCTGAGGTGCCGTTAATTGGCAATTTGGGGGGCTGGTAACGCTAATGAACTTATCCTCTGCAGCAGAGGTAAATCTTGGTCTTCTTCTCCCGAGATGGTCCTCAAGAGAGCCAGTTTCATCAAAGCACTTTTGCCACTGTGCTTCCACATTTGCCAGACTGTCTGACCCTTAAAGTAATGGACTATTGTTTCTCTGGACTCAGGCAGTTCTTGCCATAATATGGACTACACAGTAGTCGAATAGGGCTGTTTGGTGTTTACCAGCACTATACCAGTACAACACAATTGATTGTCTCAAATGCACTGAGAAAGCAAGAAATTCCACCAATTAACTTGAAAATTGAAAGTTAACTGGTGTAATTAATTGTTAATTGAAAACCATTCCTGGTGACTGACTAATGAAACAGGTTAAGATGTAACCAACTGTGTCCAAAGCTGCCATCAAGGCAAACTGAATAATTTGAGAAAGCTAAAATTTCAAACATATTTTGCTTAGTACATAATAGCAAGTGGTATTTTATTAATGTATATTATTCTACAGTACAGAAAATAATAGAAACAAATAAAAAAGAGCAAACCCTTCTACAAAAAACAATGTCTTGTAAACCAAAAACTTCTCCTGAGACACAAATCATCTGACACTATCAGACTTTCTTGATAAAAATCACAACTCATGTTTTATAATTGTCCAGCAAAATGAATTCATCAAAGATGAAGGACATTTTGACAAAAACACAGCCCTAAAATCTTCATTTAACCAATACATCTTTCCTAAACTACATAACCATGTACATAATCCCTGGTTGAAGACCTCTGTGTACACAGTAATGTGGTTTAGGGATGTTTTATTTAGAATTACATTTGCTTCTGAATGATATTATTGTACAGTGTTTACATGTTTTGTATGAACTGCAAAATATATGTTGAAATCATGCCAATAAAGTAAATTTACTTTTGATAGGGAGACACGTGAAGACAGAGATATTGCAAATAAAGTAGTATTGAGAAGGGGCAGTAGCACATTTAGAACCTTCTTTGTAATCTGATGTAAAAATGCACACAGTATCACTTGCTCTCAATGAGAAGACAATTGTCTTGGTCACAGGTGTAGAGACAGAAAAAGTTCACATACTGCAGATTTTGAAAAATGATCTCACTGCAACAAGCTGGAGGAGTCACCCAGTTCACAGGAACCCAGATGTGACAAGAAAGCAACTTTAACTTCTGCTTTCTGATGAGTCAGCAGGGCCTCTCTGGTCCCTCCTCACATCGTTCCCTCTCCCTCCCGAGTCTGAACATAAGAGCCTCAGATAAAAAGCCTCCAATCCTCAGACTAAATCCCTCTCACATTGGTCTTACACTGAGGGGGAAACTGGCTCACTGGGCTCCTGTCATCTTTTTTAGTCTCTCTGGTCCAAGCATTTATTTACCCAGACCAGCGAAAAAAGCTCTTCTTCCAGAGATTGCAACAGTGTCACAACAGCCAGTCCTGGTGTAACAAAGGGGAATATGCCATTGTTCCATATTCCTGTTTTGCTTGAGGTACAAAATCACAGTTTCCCCACATCCACTTCTGCAGCTTAGCTACACTTCGGAGCCAAGCACAACACACTAATACTAAAATAAATCTGCCACTGAAACTAAGTGAAGAAGCACAAATGGCCATAAGATATGCAGCAGCCTAACATGAATGCACTTATTCAAATGTGCAAAAGAAAATATACAGGCACTCTCTATTTATGCCCCTGTCAAATGTGCACACAAATCATGTTCACTGCTCACGTACAGGCAGCCCACCCATTTGTGTTATGACATCTCATCTGACCCTTGCCCTGCCTTAATGTCACTGCTAATTGCCTGTGTTTATTCTCAGACATCCTGAGAGACAGACAGGGGAAGGTGCTAGAGCGAGCAACAGGTAGGCCAGGAGAGAGAGAGAGAAATAAAAAAATCTTTCATTGAATTTCTGTGTCCATGTGGGGAGATGGTTCTTCCAGTTCAACTCAACTGACAGAGAGATAATAACATATGTTTCTGAGCTATTTCAGCAAACCACTCACAGTCTGGCTCATATTTAAATATAGATGAATTCTCTTCCCCGTCAACAAAGTCCTGTCAAAACCAGAATGAACAACAACAGATGGAAAACATGGGTAGAGGAGAGAGGGATTCTGGTTTTATCAGGATGGCACAGGGCTGGACCATCTCGTGATTAAGACCTTTAACTGTGCTAGAACGTGGAGACAAAACATAACCACAAGTGAGAAATGAGATCATCGCTGACTCAGAGGTTTTGCATGATGTGATAGCGTCTGTGCGATAGGCAATTGTCTGGTAAACTTTTCACTGTTCTACCGTGGCAGTGTGGCACTGAGTGACAGCTCACCACCCGCAGTCACTGCTAATTCATGATGGCATGCTCAGAGGCGACAAATCATTCATAAAACATAGAGAGAGACACATCCACATACAGACACTGTGCAGATCAAATCTGTTTCAGTGAACATCACAGATGGTCTGGATTCTGACAAAAATATTTGGCTTCAGTTCTGTCTGACAGATGGGTGAGCTCCCTAAATTATCAGGGTCAAACCAACAGTATTTTCAACTTGAGGTTGTATTTGTATTTTATTGTGGTGTTTTAAATGCTTGCCTACTTACAGTGACAGGCAGCTCCCTCTCGCTGGAGCTCAACAGCTCGTTCATGGTGCAGTGAAACAGCTGGTCGTTATGGAAGCTGATGTTACAGGGATAGGGGCCAATCATCACCGAGTACTCCTCTGGCACCAGTTCTAGATCACTCGGCCCTTTCTATACCAGAAATGAACCAAATCAGATTGTCAGTGATAAAAAGCCAGTGGGGCCTGCTTTGAACAGGCACAGATAACATTTATAAAGACCAAACATACATGCAGACACATTGTTGTATCCAGACACACATATACAGTAGAAACCAACATGTGGTAGGCCTGTCACACAGAGTAAGCCAGCAGAAAACTCCTCCAGTCTGGGATAGAGTTCAGCTTAAAGCAGCAAACATTCCCAGTTCTTCTCTCAATTGGCCAGAGAAGTGTCTACAAACAAAACCCACTGACAGTCATCCCTGTCACAGCCCAAAATAACATTCTCAGGGCCTCTACGGGAGCCTGCTGGAATAAGCTGCACAGGCTTTTTGTTTTTTATGAATTCATTTATGTCCATAAGCCCAGCTTCTCACTGCTAAGAGCCAGATTAAATAAAGTGTTCAGTCCTACTCAGCCTGCTAAAACAGTTTACAGTGTTTTCTGTGGCTCTGGAGGGAGTTATCTAAAGTCTGAACAAATAATTCTGGTGACACCATAGTGATGTCACAGGGTTGTCTCAGTTTGGGCATGGACTCTACAGATTTGTGACAGAAAGCTAAACGGTTTTTAAAAAAAGGAATGTCTACAGCAAGCTGCATTATGGGAAATGTAGGCTCTAATATATAATAAAGACTAAAAGCTGAAAATCTGGGCCGCTGCTTTTTGGGTGGGACTCTCACAAGTCCCCAAACTTTGAGGTTATTAGCATCAACTTGCTATGGATTTGTACCTAGGAGGGCTCCATATTTAATTTACAATTATAAAACATGGAGCTATAAGACTGTATAGGACTGTATGTTCATCAAATGTTTATTTCAAAGGACAGTCAAATTATATTTGAAGGGAAATTTTAATTTATTACAATTGGATTCTCTCTTTTAAGTTTTCAATTAGCTATAATTATATTGTACTCCCCATAGTCACAGCTCTCTTCTGGAAGCACAGCAACACTATTACAAAGCAAGAAAGAAGCAGAAAGATGGTTATCAAGGCTGTAAACAAGCCAAAGATTTAGCTAGATTTTCTGAAGCACTTAATTTGGAGGTAAACTCAAATCAGTAGGTAAGCCTGTAAACTATGACGAATAATTAAAACAGACAGTCTGGGTAATAATTTTAGCAGTTGTCTTTAACCTGTCAGTCTTCCTTTTAGTAGTGTCTCATATCTCTGCAATTAACTTGGTATGTACAGTGTTATTTTTACCAACTGAAATGATGAACAAAACTATTTTAAAAAAAGATCTGCTTTGTATGAACTGTAATTTCCCTTTAAAACAAAAAAGACAAGCGAGAAACTCTGTGTGTGTATATGTGCGTGTTTAATCCTGTGTGCTTCCTTGCTTTGATTACACCCTTAGGACCCCGTTCTGTCCCTGCTGCAGGATGCCACCCCCTGGGCCTGTGTCAACAAATGTTCTCTAACACAGACACAACACACACAGTATGTAATACATACACACAGACAAAAAGAGCATCAAACTATCATAAAAATTATGTACAGTATGTATGGTAAAATATGCTGTATAACCTCCATTTACACAACACTTTCACACTTAACCTCGTCAGACCAGAACAATAACAGCCAAAGGCCAAACAGGATGGAACAGGAACAAACAGAACCCACCCAAAATCCAGCTCAGATCCTTAATACAGGATCTGATTGACCAACAAGCTCCGTGTTAAACAAACGCACACAGTGTTTCTCCATCACAAGTGGAATCCACCTTCCCAAAGAAAACAGGAAACAACAGAAGAGTCACCCATGCAGATGGGCTGAGGCAGCAGTCCCTGCTGGGGCCTCATCCTGACACACAACACAAACACACAAAGAGGACGCTGCATCATGTTTAGACTTCCCCGTCTGTGCTGGTAGCATGTGCATGTTGTACCGTGTCACAGCCTGTAGCCCTTTAAGGCGATGCATGCAGGCAGACAGGTGCTTAGATCAGCCTGAACACAGGAACATGGAACCTCCCACTGAGCTGCCATCACGCCCACCCCCCTCAGACCTCCAACAGAAATCCACACCTTTGATTTGTTTTATGCCCCTGTGGTTTATGTGAATATGAATAAAGAAACGTTCAGCCCAGTCTGCTGTTCACAGTGGGGGCAGTCAGTTTACTGTACAGCACTGCTGCTTTTGGAGACAAAGAACAAGTAACCTTTAGAAAATACCTTCACTTGTTCAGAATAGAAACTGTTTGTAAAAGCCAAGATTATTAACTGGTTCATGTTCCCCTACAGATGAATTGTTATAACTTTGGGTAGCACATGACTTTTCTTCTAATGCTATCATTAGACTCAGGGCCAATTAGCCAATGTTAGCACTGCAAGCAAAGCTAAAATGAAAAAAAGTCAAATATCAGCATGTTAACATTATCACTGTGAATAACTTAGCATATGTATTAAATGCTTTAATCAGTAAAGCATTTAATACAAAGTATGGCCATATCATCTGTAAAAATACTGAGATAATCATTTAGCTAAATAGTCATCTATGTGACAAAATTAGACTGTCAGTTCAACTTCCTATTTTTAAGTTTATTTCATAAATATTAGATTATTTGCAATATTTGTTATTTATAATTGGTGAAAATGGATACAGAAGGTAATTCAAAAGGACTGATATTTGACATGCTGATTAAATTCATAATTGATAGAGTTTATGGTACAGTATTTCTGCACATTTGTTTCCACTCTGATCAGAATGCTGTGTAAAGTAAAATACAAATAACCCATAAAACGTTCTGTTTTATGGGTTATTTGTTTTATAATAGGGTGAAGATGAGTTTTTGCTTGACTTATGAGCAAAACAATGTATCAGTGAAGCACTGATCTGAAATTCCTGTCTCACTCACGTTAATGATGAGTGTCAGTGGCTCTCCGAGGTGGTGTTTAATCAGCTTCTCTTTGTTGGCAGTGAAAAACTGAGGATCCTCCACATACTCCAACAGGAAGTGACCTTTGTGAAGCTCACTCTCCTCCTCCTCTGGCTCGCTGTCAGAGGAGGAGGGACTGTCTCCTGTGTAAAGTACTCCGTTCAGGAAGAACTGCACCGAAGTCTGCTGGGATTGGCTGGATGCCGGGGATGAGCAGATAATGCTGGAAGGGGAGAACACCGTGCAGTGCTGCCAAAGGACCAGAGAAGACATGAAAAATGAATTTCTCAGCCACATATCAGATGTTTAATGACATAATCTGTTTGCAAAATAACTAACTTTAAACTTTAATGAGCACAGTTCTTAAAGGAATAGTTTGTCATTTTTGGAAATACACTTTTTGCGGAGAGTTAGATGAGAGATTGATATCACGCTCATTTCTGCCTGTTAAATATGCAGCTGGTTAACTTAGCTCAGCCTAAAGTCAGTACTAAAGTCAGAATATTCTTCCAATCTACACTAAGTCTTGGCAAGAAAGCAAACAAGTGCATTTGAGAATTAGTTTTAAGATAATTCTGGTACAATACATCAAATGGCAACTTTTATGTTTAATATTGTACATGGTCCCTTACAAATAAAAGTTGACATTTAACAACAACAACAACAAAAAATCAGCTGATTACTCACTGTTTGTCCAATTTTAAGGACCTGCATGGTGACGCTCTGTACCAGATCAAAACCCTGGCCTTTCACTGTGATGGTCCTGCCACCACTGTGTCACACACATACACACACGCACACACACACACAGACAAGTAATGACTTATGTTGGTGATGCTAGGAAGGGTTTGTGTTGCTTGTGGTGTGTGTGGCAGTCTACCAACCTGAGGTAGCTCTTTGTGGGGTGGATGGAGCTGATAATGGGGTTCTTCTCATAGGTGTATGAGGTACTAAGCTCCCCGCTTTGACAGGGAAGGTTTTCAAATTCCACACAAACTGTCACCAAATCACTGTGCGCCTGTAGGGCTGGAGGCATGATGCACTCAATGGTTTCATCTGCTTTCCTAAAAAATAAAGCAAACATTGTAATCCACAGATCTTGTGATGTTTACAAGTGCTCAGTACCCAAAAGTGATACGACTTAGAAGTTATGGTTGATGCAGCTTGGCAGAATTTTACACAAGCACTACTTTGTATTATACTGCACGATAGCCACAAGCAGAAGAGCTGAATTTAAACATGACACTTGGACTCTAGTTGGACCTAAGTCATAAATATAAGGACTAAGATTTAGGGAATTTTCACACCTAAAAGTCTGAACCAAGGATTCATGTTTTTGTTAAATTGTATACATTTGATCTGGTTAGTTTTTGTTTCACATTGCAATTTTGTAAGCACACCAAAGGACCCATAGCTATGTCCTGTTGTCATCTCCTAAGTGAAGAAGAAAAAAAATTAAGGAACAGATTAATGTCCTTGCCACTATAGTGTTTTTATTATGCCAATACTACCAGCAGGACCAACTTCAATCACCGTACTCAAGACTAGTTCAGCGTCACCTATATTGTCATAGGGCAAAAAGTACACTGTCACCGGCAGATAAGGAGGCAAAGACTTCAAACAGTCCTGCAAGCTTTGGCTACTCTGTTTCTCGAGACATGAGTAAGGTGAATGGTATTCAGTTTCAAAAGATGAGCTGTCACTAGCTGTCTTCTTCTATTGTTTGGGTGAAAATAACCCGCTTCAGCTTCCTGTAATTGGTCCAAAGCTCTGAACTATCCCAAAAAGTGTTTTCACACTGGAAACAAACTGAACCATGGCTCAGTTTGATCCGGACTGAGACCGCATCTTTTGCTCGGACCAAATTCTGGTCCTTTGGTCCGGATTGTGGTCTGAGGCACCTTTCACACCTGCTATTTTGATTTGGATTAAACTGAAAAGTCTGAAGGTTGGGACTGAACAAGGTAGGTGTGAAAATACCCTTGGAGACAAATAACTTCCATCATTATGGCCAGTTTGGTCATGAAGACTTGCCATGTAAGACAGACTTGAGACTTGATCAAGACATGCTTCAAAGAGACTCTGGCTACAAGCAATTAAATATAAGCTGTACTTACTCTGTAATGATGCATTCCAGTGTATTGTTGATCCTGACTCTGACCTGAGACCCAATGTCCAGGTGCTCCCCCGAGATGTTCACTCTGGTTCCTCCAGCACGAGAGCCATTTCTCGGCTTCATGGATTGCAGCTTTGGGACCTGAATACAAAGATACAGCACATGACTAACAAGACATCACATTTATCACCAGACATCCAACAACCTCTGTCACTTGAAAAGACAGGCTTATTCAAACTGTTTTGTGCTCTGTGATGCTTTTTTTAAAACACAAAACAAATCTTTCCTTATTCTTTAAGGTTCAAATATCTCATCTTTACAGATTGGCTGAGACAGCTGCTGACTATAACAGTAAATTGGTGAAGAAAACTGTGAAGACAGCCCACGCTGCAGTATGTTGAAGTGCTGCTGAAGCCAACAGGCCTTTAGGTCCAAGCTTGCAGGACAGCTATACTGATGCAATAATTTTCATGCATATACTTAAAAATGCTATGCACACACAGTCATATGTATATGACGCATACATATCACATACTGTACATGGGTCTTCAAGCAAAGATGAATAGCACTGTCCAGTTCTGCAGCTACCAGCATCAGCATTTCTGCTCTTTCCAGACTTTCTATTCACTCCATGAACCTCACCTTAGGGGAAACCTCTTATCCTCACTGACAGGATTCACTTCCTCAGCGTGCACTGATGGAGGAGACCTATTGTGTTTGTGTGTCAGACTGGGTGTAAGGAGGCAGATGTTTCCGCCTAAATGGTTGAGGAAGGACATGCACATATCCTGTCTCGGGATATGTGCATGTGGTTTTCCCTTTCTCCCACAATATTTTCCTCTCACAGCCCTGCAGTAAAATCCTCTCTCGCACCAAGCGTCTAAGAGTGGAACACAACAGCTCGGCAAAATGTTTGTTGCTCTAGATTTTCCTTATCTTCATGTATCAAGAAGAATTCCAAGAAAGGGGTGATTTCTCTGTGGGATGACTCATAAGCAGAACTGCTGAAGTGACAGACCCGAATTCTGAACAACTCTTTGTCTCTAAACAACAAGAAACAAAGCGCTTGCTTAAATGGGTATTTCCACTCTTAATCTAATGGGAGCCTGTGTGGGTCTAGGTCAGTTAACAGAAATGCTGGCTAGCCTCAACCAGTGATGAATGCAGAGCAAAGGGACATTCCAGCAATTGCCATATTTGTTTTTATTGGCAACGAGTGCAGAATGACAATGGTGCTCAGTTGCAGCTCAGATGAACACTTGAAGATTCCCACACACTTGCATTTCTTTGAATTATAAAAGGCATCTGTTAACACTCAACTAACACACTTGGGAAGGGTTTCCCAGTGGGGAACAGGGAACAAGAGAACATAGAAGAAGAAGAATGGGGAGGGAGACACTGACAGAAGAGAAAGCAACAATCAGCTCCTACAGTACAGTAGCTAGAGTATCTACAGTAGTAGATACAGTAGCTCCCTGGAGAATACTCACTAAGTATGAGAAGCTCTCCTTTGACGTCCCAGTCCCACTGTGATCCACATCCACTTGGACAATATCTGTTCTAGCATATGTAGATCTCCCAGTGACACACACCAGCCTGGGGGAATTTAAAAACAGTGCAACCTCCTTGTTTAGTTGCTGAAACACTATGATCAGAGATCAGTTAAGACAATAACACTGGATAAGAGTGCTCAAAAAGCTGTTTTTTTTTATATTAAACAATAAATAAATAAGAAAATGAAAGAATGAAAGAGCTCTTCATCATGATTATACAAAGACACATTAACTAAGCTTGGACAATGGTGGTTATGAACTAATTCATCAAAGCATATTGCATTTACATATGGAATCCAATAAAGCCTTCAGATATCAGATATTAAGAAATGTAAAGTTCAAAGCTCCGTAGACCAGATGTGTCCAACCATAGAGGAGATTAAGGATCTGCTGTGGCTTGTTCTCTTGGCCCCTGGCTGTGATTAAACCTTGTGTCATCAGAGCATGCTCTATAGGGACGTCTCATATTAATGACACAGTGGTGTACAAGAGGCACAGGGATCTACTGCTCTGGGGGCACTGGGATAACAATCCTGGGCCTGGAAACGCAACCTTTATCCCCTCACATGATCTCCCTCCAGCTCGACACCCTCTACAGAGGTTATAAATTCTCAGCAAGTGATCGAATGATTGACAGAGGAATTGCGGGGGATTTACATAAGTGAAGGAAATGTGTTTTATATATGTAGGAGGTCCTGGCAGGATATATGGTAAGAGGCTGGGCTGGACAGATTTGTGCTCAGCATGGGGTCAGGTCATCAGGCCTGAGACCAGGGAGGAGGCTCTGTCTGAGCGTGTTTTTAAATTTCAGGTCTTATACAACTCAAACCAACACGTGTTCTGTTTTAATTGAACTCATGTTCAAACCACTGTGGCATTTAATGTATTCTGTATGTATTCTGTATGTATTCTATAAAACTGAATAGATATTAAAAAATACAATATAGTAGCTTAGTTCCAGTCATCTGTTAAGTGCAGAGGAGCATCGGGTAAGGAATGTTGTTACCCTCAAATTTCACTCCAGACAGTATCATGAGGGCAGGCTTGCACCTGTTTGAAGAAGATGCATCAGCTCACATGTTCTGATTTTAGTGAAGAAAGGGAAGAAAGGACAACTAAAATCAAACATGACTTTTCATAGTCACATCTGATGGAAATAAGATACTGAGCCCGAGTCAGCCTGAGCCTGCAAGGTTGGTTCAAGCCTAACTGGATTCAGGTCTGACAACCTGAACCTGGACAAGTGTCAGAAAACAGGACAGGATTCACCAAGTGAAAATAATTATTTGATCTAAATTTCTCCTAAACAACAATCCCAATTTCATTTTACAGGTGTGTGACATCTCCTGACAGTCCACAGTCAGATACAAAAACATTCACTGTAAATTAAATGTAAAACTATTTAATATCTTCCAACTCCCTTTTTGACAGAAAGCGACTACTAAAATGCAAGACTTTTCAAGTCCTGCAGATAGCCTGGTGTGCATATACGTGTGAGCTGAGCTTGATGTTGATGCAGTGTGATCCCAGTCTGTGGACAGGCACGCTCCCAGTAGGAGCAGACAGAACCTTGACTGACCCCTTCTCCACATTCCTGCACAGCCTCACTATGGAGATATTATGGGTTTCAGGGGATGCTATTTTGGCTGGTGCTGGGATATCTCTGATCATTTCCCTCAAGTGGATGACGAGGATCATCAACAATCAAGTCTGTGTGTTGTCTGGGTGCTGCTAAATGGACAGAGCGAAGGCCACTCAGGGCTCACATGAAAATGATAGCGAGGGCGACGTGGAGGATCAAATATTCAGAGAACTACTTCAGTAAATGAGGTGTGTCTCAACTGGCTGTGCCATTAATTAAAATGTTGACACAGCGTGAGTGGAGCGCCGTCGCTCCAGTGCTGCACATTTTTCTTGTGGCACACAGATGTGAACTTTCACCTCTCAGCACACGAGCAGACACCTGTTTCAACAGCACTGGTAAATGAGGTCACATGTGCAGGTGTGTGTGTGTGCTAGTGAGTGTATATACGTGTCTGGCATTTCTGAGAGAGCCTGTTGAAATTTTACATTTTCTGGCACAAGGGTGTTTTATGCAGTTCTTCCATGTGGTATGAAAAGATTTTGTTTTACAAATTAGGTTTAAACTAAAGTAAAATAAAATGTTAAGGTTGGATGTTTTAATATAAGTAGTTTAAGTTAAAGCAATAAGATAGGATAAAATATAATCTAAGCAATAGGAGGTCCCCACAAGGACAGAGATGTGTGCAAGCCAAATGTGCTGACACTGTCAGATGCACTGACATGTTATGATTTGTCACTGCCACTTCCAGCAATGAGGATACGCTTCGCTGTCATAACAATCAGCCTCGGGAGCCAACGAGGAATGACGACACAGATGAGATCACCCCAGGAGTGAAATATGATTCGCTCTTTTTGACATGTGTAGTTTGGGCAAATGTGTCAGGCAGCTGGAGTGGCAGGTCACCCTCAGACTGGTCTTAAAACAATGATTGGCTTCAGTGGAGCAAGACCAGATAAACAGTTCCTTTCAAAGAAACATTACAGATACCGAGTGGAAGTTTGGATGTAATAATTGTACTGTAGAGGTACTAACTTCCAATGAGCTTTGCTATGCCAATGCCAAAGTGGGGTCATGCTGTCTCCATGGTGACAGTGTGATGGTCCCTGAGTTATGGAGCAACAGCAATGGAGTCCATTAAAATGAGAAGTGTGTTGCATAATAATATTTGTAATAATTTGCTTCATGATTACAAAAAAACTACATCCTGTAGGGATGGCAAATTTTTCAAAACTGGTGGACACGTTTCTACTGATGCTCTATGGTGGTGAACTGTGAGGAGTTTAGTAGCTTATTTAAAAGTGACTCACCTGAGGTTTTCTAAATAAATTCTTGTCAGTTTACAGGTATTATTACAAAAGTAGCACATGTGATTATTTTAGTGAGGATGACAGAGCCCAAGCTCAAGATGTTTGTCTCATTTACTCACTGCCAGGATTATAATATACTGTATCACTTTGTAAAGTGTCCAGAGACGACTTGAATTGAATTGAATTAGTGACTCTTAAGAAAATACTTCATAAAACCATTATGTTATTCAACAAAGATACTACATGTAAACAGACTGGTGTGTAAAAATTGTTATGTTTTTCATTATATATACTGTAACATCTGTGTCACAGGTATTTATAATTTTGCTGCAGTTTCCAAACTTTATAAAACAAACGTCATAACTATCTTTGTGCTTTTCCCAGCTGACATGTTATTGCACTGTGAGGCAGCTAACTTCCATTATAAAGTAATGAGTCATGCAGCTCTCACTGCGCTGTCTGATCTGAGTTTTGCTTTCTCTGGCTCAGGTCTGGTTTAACACAGTGTTCCTGGCTGAGATGGACTTTACACTTCAGGATTTCTTTAAGGTTTATTAACTGGAAAAAATTTTCATTTACTGGTTCTTATAGTCTATAGTCCGCCTACTGACCACCTGAATGCTCATCTGCCTGAAAACATGTCAGGTTACCATGACAACAGGTAATTGTTAGTTATCGTTTCACCACTGCGAGCTGCACAATAACAATATATTTTAATATGGTTTTAAATATAAAAGACATTGATGTATAGGACAGGCTCTGATTTCTTTCATTATTTCTTTTCCTTTTGATAATGTAGATCATGTGTAATCAAACAAATGCAAAGTAACAGAAACTAAAAGAATAAGAACAGTGCCTGCAGACATGCTTCAGCGAATCCTTTGGGAACAGTTGACATGAACCTATGTGAAAAACTGTGAGTCATAAATCAGTGCTATGTTGTGATACTTACTCTACAGAGACAGTGTAGTGCTCCGGCAGGACAACACAGGGCGCATCTCCAATGAGGACCTTCACTGCTGCTGCCCTTCGGCCCAGGTCTCTGCCTTGCACTGTCAGGAGGGTGCCTCCCTCGACTGGACCCCGCAGGGGGGAGATCTGACAAAGACAGAGAGAAGTAAGAGTAAGTAATGTAATATGCAATATTCACAAAAAATTAAAGCAAATAATTAGAAGGTTTTACTAATGGCAGGTGATAATGAAAATGACAAAGACTGAAGAGAATGAAGATGTTGTCTTCATTGCTGACATGGAGCGTGGCACACAGCGAGATAAGGACAAGTGGCCTGTGGAAGGGTTCTTCTGCAGAAGACTGAGATCTAATTGAACAGACACATGATTTAGGTATATATACCTGCACACACAAAGCAGACTCTTAACTGTGCCAGTCTGAGACTCTTCAGCCTCTAATCCTCTGCAGCACATGCAAATAAAGAGCAGCCTAAGAGCCCCCTTCACATCCCACAAGAGACAGAGAGAGTGAGAGAGTGAGGACTGGAGAGGCGAGGTGGAGAGCACAGTAGAAAGGTGGATGTGTGGGGAGGCAATTTAGGGAACCGAGTGTCAAGAGGAGCGTGAATACTGATGGTGGCGGTGAGAGCAAATTAATGCAAAAGGCTACTGCCTTTCATCTGTTTTCCTCTGTCTGCTCTGTGAAATTCCTTGGTCCTATTTCTGCTGTTGTTCAGAAGCAAACTCTCATGCATCATTTCAGCCTTTGCCTTTGGTCTCTTAACTTTCCTTTCAGGAGCCATGGAAAGTAAGGAGATGACCGTCACCTCTGCAATCACAGCAGAAACAGAGCTTTAAAGATAGCATCTCAGACAGAAGCAATCTACCATCATCTTACCACTGTAGCATAGCAAGCCCAGCAGCCTGCACGCTTTTCTGAGCCACCCTCTAGCTAAGCTGAGGTCACTGTGACCCCTCTGTTATTAGCCTGGCTCCAGCTCTATCAGAAACCGAGCTTAGGAATGAAAACAGCACTTCTGTTTGGGCTAGGTGAGAGGACAAGGTTTGGTGCTGAGTAAAGTTAATCTGTAGCCCACAAGAGTGACAGCGCAGATAAATAAACCATGTATGTCCCAGAAAAAAAGGAAGTAAAGAATATATTACTTCTAATATCTTGCAAAAACAGACTTTTAGACACCAACCTATCACTTACGACATTTCTGTGAGCCTGAAGCCACAGGACATGATGTAAATGATTTTATCTTTATAACAAGCTTCTGGATGTTAAGTGTGACCACCCAGTGCCTTATTACACCACATACCTGCATTCCTTCATACACATGCAATATGCAAACACCATAAAATGCAAGCATGAGCACACAGAATGGCAGACAGCCACCTTCCATACAGAGCTCAGCAGTACGCAGAATTATTTACTACCATTATGCGTCTTATAGCACCTAGCATGTCCCTGTGGTGCCGTTGAGCACTGATATCAACATCAGCTGGCTTGCTGTTCATTTACACCTCTTATAAGTTTGTGAGTCTTGATTTACAGCACAAACTCTGCCAGGCCTCCAGGGACATCACAGGGTGTGAATGTGTCTCTGAGAAATCCTCCACAAGGTTAGAAAGTATTAAACGATTAATTAATATAACGCAATAACTAAATTATTCTACACCTTTGAATTGAAATGAACAAATACACCAAATACACTGCACATACGTGATCTCCACCATAACCACTTAACTGATAAAAGCCATATGCTTTCCTTTGGTTATTTTTGTGTTGAGGTCAGAGCCTTCATCCTTTCTTCACTCCAGTTCCTCTGTATCACACTAATCAAGGAGGACATGAGGACCAAAACAGGAAAAAGCCTCTCACTATACTGCACCATTCTCCACCCTCTCGCTGTCCACCAAGCTCTCCATCCTCTCTCCCAAGCCGTTTACATCTCACCCAGATCCTTCTGTTCTCTCTTTCTTTTCATGTCGTGGATCAGCTATGTTTGGCAGTTCCTGTTTTGGATGCTGAAGTGCCTCTAATCAATGTTTATTTAAACTGCGGATGAGCCCACACACAAAATGAGAACAAAATGCGGAGATAATAAATGTCTCCATTGTCTTGTATCAATGCATTTAATAAAGAGCATTTTTCCCACTTAGGTACTATGTGGCAAAGTTTAGGGAATAATGAAATCCTCCTTCATATTATTGATATTTTGATGCTAGTACTTTGTGGAAGAGACTGTATGTGACAAAGGGACAGAGCAAGAAAAACATGTTTAATTAACTGAGCTGCACACACAGTCACCAGGACTATACAACAAAGAGCTGCTGCTGAATGTGTCTATGGGAACGTTTAGAGAGAGAGAGACTCTT